TGAGAACTGTTGGGCAGAACTGAGCCGGAAAACTGCTAACCACAACCCTAAACCAGCTATTTTAGCTGAGTTGCAGTGCTTTCTAGTGGCAAGTTGGGATGAAATCACGGTTGATTACATCAATAACCTCATCGACAGCATGCCACGTCATTTTGCGGAAGTTATTAGCGTACGAAGGGGACCAACCAAGCACTGAATATTTAATACGAATTGATATAAAGTTATAGACACTGTTTATAGTCATTTGATGTCATATTATATCATTTTATATGTTTTGGTAAGGTTTTGTTGTAGGTGTTTCATAAAATTGCTTGCTTTTCTAATAAGTGTTCATGATATCCATATAAGCTGTCTCATTATACAAATTACATACGTAAATGTGTAACATAACATGAATTTTTCAGTTTGACAGTGCTAAGAGTATTTGTATTCCATCTTAATAATAATGATCTTACTTGTTACAAAATATGAAAAACTTTTGGTCAAGACTGTAGAAGAAGAATATACTAAAACGTGGACGCAACTGTGAAAGAGAGCTAAGTGTGAAATTTTATTGGTGTTCTGTTTTGATCCTTTTATTAATGTTACTGATTTAAATTCCATTTTTATATATTGTAAATTGTTTTAAGTTTCAATTTCTACTGTGTTCATTCTAATTTTTAAATTCTTGAAATTTATATTATGGTTTAATATATATATATATATATACAGCAGTTGTAGGTATAGAAGAACGTAAGACCTGGATCTCATTCCTATCCTGAGTAAATCAACGTCTTGAAGCAACAGTACATTGAAATGTTAAACGCGACTGAAGCAGAGACTTCTATGTTACTGTAAAGTTTATTTGATGATATAGTTAGCAAAATAGAGATTTCCATAATTTACCAATTTCAGTTCCTTGATTCGTGAAGAGTTTCAAGGTGATCATGTGAATGAATACGAAAGGCTTCTTTTACATGATGAATTTTCTAGTATACAGCTTGTTGAAGAAGAGAAACATGATTTCAGTGAAACTGATGGGCCGAAGTTGTGACATATACAGCTGTGGTAGAAGCACTAGCTTTCGTATGTCTGGTTTGATTTTGGTGTTATTTGGTTTTGCTCTGAAAGATTTTCGTCTGTTTCAACAGTGTATGATTCAATTCAATTTCAGTTGGTTTTGTACACCATGGGCCATGTGGATGGTTTGATGATGATGAGTTTCTACCCATGGATGGAACAAGTTATGAATTTCAGGGTAATGTTTTTTTACACCATGGGCCATGTGGATGGTTTGATGACGATGAGTTTCTACCCATGGATGGAACAAGTTATGAATTTCAGGGTAATGTTTTTTTATACCATGGGCCATGTGGATGGTTTGATGACGATGAGTTTCTACCCATGGATGGAACAAGCTACGAATTTCAGGGTAATGTTTTTTACACCATGGGCCATGTGGATGGTTTGATGACGATGAGTTTCTACCCATGGATGGAACAATCTACGAATTTCAGGGTAATGTTTTTTTACACCATGGGCCATGTGGATGGTTTGATGACGATGAGTTTCTACCCATGGATGGAACAATCTATGAATTTCAGGGTAATGTTTTTTTACACCATGGGCTATGTGGATGGTTTGATGATGATGAGTTTCTACCCATGGATGGAACAAGCTACGAATTTCAGGGTAATGTTCTGAAGTTATACTAATTTCTTGATTCTGAGGAAGGTGTTTTAACTAGTAAGTAATTATTGATGAACAGCGTCTTTTAATCTCCGTGAAATACGTTTTGCTGTGACGTTCTTGATAGCAAGGGATTGATAAGGAAAATTATTGAACTTTTCTTCTAGAAGTAATTAACTTTCTAAAGGTCGTATTAACAGACACATAAGAAGTTAGTTAAATAAATCATCAAGTGCACAAAATGAAACAATTAGTCGGAAGGACGATGTTCAGATTCTATAAGATAGGTTAACTTGTTCATCGTATATGAGAAACTCAATATTGGTTATTGAATTAATAACCGTCGTTAAAAGTTATCGTATAGATTGTCTGATTCTGTTTAATTGGGAAATGTGACTAATTTGATAAATCTGACCCTGTAAGCCGTTGGGCCTTAATAGTTTCAATCGCTAAAAAAATATAGTTATCTATATCTCTTATCGCTGTTAGAAATAGTAAAGCTACGCGTTATTAATTTCAACAAAGAAATATAAAGTTACCAATGGAAAACTTTGTGTTACTTTATTTTCAGAACTTCCAGTATTGTTAGCTATATTCACCATACAGCAATCCTAATTGGCCAACAAATGATTATATCCCGCGCAAAATAAAAGGATCGGTGATTTCAGTATGTAAATATGTAGACGAAAAGTACTTGTGACAAAATGAAGAGTAGAATGCAAAATATATTCAATAAACAAAAAACCACTTATTATACATTTACCAATCAGTTGTTTGTTTTATTGTCAAACGCAAAGCTACACAATGGGCCATCTGTGCTGTGCCCATCACGGGTATCGAAACTTGGTTTTTAGCATTATAAGCCTCCAGAGTTACCACTAAGCCACTGGAAGGGACTACATTTCACAAGTCGGCTAGAAATACAATCACCACGACGTTGAACAGGGGGGGGAACGAACTGATTTAGAAATAATACAAGTTAATCGTGAACTGAAGAAGGTGAAGAAGAAACTTAAGATACAGAAGAAACTGGTCAATACAACGACATTAGCACACTGGCTGAGGTCAGTACTTTACCCTTTGAAAGTTGGAACAAAACTGTACATCCATAGCTTAGCCAACTAGCTCAAGTGACCTGGTCATTTGCACCACCTCCCCACCCACCTGTTACAACTGTACACCACCACCATGGAAGGATACTACTTTATACAAGTGATCCAGGTGATAGTTAAGACTGGTATGACCATATAATCTACATCCTTAAGAAAGATTTTCACATATCTGTAACCAGTGTTCATGTTCCCACAACACATGCGTTATTAATTATAGGAAGGCAAAGGTATGATACGCACGTGTAACAACTGTTGGAGTATACAATCTGTGTGCATAACAAACGTTTCCAACTGTCACGATCATTTTGTAACATTTGAGAATATGTACGTGTGATCCATAGCCATATCTCGGTATGTTTTACACCAGCAAATTCTTAATTTCTTGTTTTTTTTTCTCACACTGATTAGTTTACAAATAACACAAACGACAGTTTGAGAAACAAATATTGAGTAAAATCCAATATATTGTAACCGTATACGGTAAAATCAAGTTTTTAAGGTTTCATATACTAAAGAAGAGTTGAACTATAACATTGTACTCCGCTTGTTCGTGACATATTTAATAGTGTAATATACGTTACAGACACGTGAATATGACAACATCACAACTTAGGTTATTTACCGAAGAGACCAACAAAATGGTTTCATTTCGAGGGCACGCCTCTAACGACCATCGGAGTATATATGTACACTAATTCGACGTCGGTTGGCGACTGCTTGTCGCCAACCTCGAACTGGGGTATTTAAAAAAAAGAAGTCCGTTTGCTTCACATACAAGCAAGTGTGAATAATTAACATAACGGTTAGGGTTCAAGCTGTGGATGAAACGAGAAGGATCCGTCAGTTTAGCGCCTACTAGTGTCATTATTATTATTATTTTGTCCTTAGTAAATCAAAATCCTGCCCTAATCAATGGGGATGGGGATTAAAACACAAGTACACTGGTGAATGCGCGTTCATTAACAGATCTTTTAAACGTAGAATACGCGCTTTTTTTTTATTGTTTTGGTGTTTATGAACAACATAACAAAGTTTTGGCCAATAGAAATATATCTTTACTCCGAATTTTAACGATTGCACATGTTAATAGTTTTGTTTTTAATGATCCTTGTCTAAAAATATAATTAAATGCAGAATGCTAAATTTTTTATGCGTATTTCGCGATTAATAAATTCAACAAATACTTTGATATTTGTTGCCCTCGCTCTTCCTTGGGAGGGTCTTTTGTACCGAAACTATTACACATTGTTTGCAGATATCTGAAGTATATTTAAACAGACAGCTATTTTGTATTGGGCGTCGACTTGATAAAAACCTGAAAGTTCTGAGCATCTGAGCCCGCTTTCCTTCCTTAAAAGCTTCGTGCACTAAATTATATGTCTTACCCGTTTACATCTAAGATAAAATGCGAGTGAGAAATCCGAGACTGAATGAAAGGTTCGGTAATAATCATACACATTCACGTCCCTATTCACGTGCGAATCCTTTGTTGGAGAGTACGGACTTGCCTACGCAAGCGGGAATACTTCCACACAGTGTAATTAATTTCAACAACGTTTCATATCATTTTCGCGCACAAAACCTGTAAACATCCCAAAACTTCATTCCAGATGTCTGAGCACTCTGGAAAATCCACGAGAAATAACGAAACAGTGTATGCAAGTATACCTTAAAAGCCAAAACAAAGTTTGTCTTTAAGTTCAAAAACAACTCTAGCAAAGTGTTCCTTATCTTTTCTCTAATTGGTTTTATATAAACATAAACAAAGTTAGTAATATGAGTAAAATAACTTTGACTTATTATTATACACTTTTTTTTTACTTTCTGTTAGAAGTTCTTATTAATAATTAATACTGATGTTTGAGAATTAAGAATCACAGTTGTGTTATTGTTGGGCAGTTTTAAGAAAACATTTATAGTTACAGTTTCTAGACTGATACTATATACAGTGTGTTCTTTTAATCCACTTTAACTTTGAGTTGTTTGAAAAGTATATTTACATTTCTTATACAGTGACTGTATTATATCAAGTTGCAGAAGCATGTCAGTAGAATGTCTACGTCATATAAGATTGTTAGATTCTTAAAATCTAAAGCACAGTTTTATTAAACGTATAAATCTATTTCAGACTATTCAGTTAAACATTTTTGTCGGCAGAGTTATAATAATAAGTTATATCCAAAATTATGCTTTATTTTTCTTTTTTTTATATATACTCACCCAATCGCATCTCTGGATTCGTCATCTTCACTAGCGACCTCTATGTCACTGACATCCTCATACAGGGAGATTGATGGCAATATCACATGATCGTGACGTGTGGCTAAGGGAGAGATAATACACACAATAAGAAAAAACTGACAGGTATACTTGTATTGAATTAAATATATATATATATATATATATATATATATTTATCAGACTAGAACAACGCCCTCTAATTTTTCTGTTATTGACTGTTCATAAGGGCTAGAAAATGCCCAGACAGAAAAATATCCCACAGTAACGAAACAAACAGCAATCAAGGATTCACGAGAACTGAAAACCTCTAATATCCGACTCTAACTGACAACTGTGTCAATGATATATATTTTACTATATCCGATGTTTAGTTACGATGCACTTGGGTGTTCAAGTAGAGATATTTTGTAAAATTTAATACAAGTTTAACAAACGCTAGTACCATGTGTTTTGCCGTGGATGTTTGTATTAATCTTTACGACGTAGTTTATTGTCCACTAACAGTCTTTTTGCTTTCTTTACTAAACTATATTTGCAGATTGTATATCGTGATTAAATATACATCTCTGTGGTTGTTTTTCTAAGAGATCATTAAGCAAACGTTAGAACGTTTACTTCCAGATGGTGGTCTTAGCACGAAGCTTACAGATATGCCATTACCAAAGTAAGTGATATGTTTTTTATTAATATGGGCTTTGTTGATTTATTCCAGTTGCAAGCTTCCTATTTCAACCAAAAGTATTCAAGTAGTTTCTTGTCGTTCTTAAACAGATGATATTTTAACAAATTGGAAATTTATATATTTTGGTTCCTTTTACAAAAATGTATGTTAACACGGAAGGGTAACCAAGTGTTTATTTTAACCTATCCTGGCTTAACGTTTTTAGTCCTTGACACGGGATGTAGGTGGTCAGGGTAACGAAGAAACTGGCTTACGTAGGAGATATAAAGTATTTGAAACCAACTCAAAACACTGACAGATCCTTCTAACAAGTCCTGTACAAAGGTTGAATGGTGTTATACTACACAGATGTGGCTTAGCATAGAGGAGTCTTTGTAAGTTGACATATTAAACTTTAGTCTAACAGTGAATTACAGAAATAGTAATCGAACACGAAGGTAGCGATGAATTCTGACGTGTAAAGATGTTTAAACTAAAGTTCTAATAATGGTTAGGGTGGTTATAGTCTATAATTACAAGACGAAAATTCGTCTGATTAATAGGAGCTTTCATACAGGTCTGCGCTTGTGGAATTAATGGATATTACAGGCTTACGAACTCATTAAAGAAGATTGATTTCTTTCACGTAACATCCTTTCTTCGAGCGTTGAAGGATTTGCGTTGTACGTAAAAAGAAGTTGAAACAGTGCTCAACATCGTCAATAAAAATTCTCAATTACATCATTCCCGATGAGAGAGAAAAAACAGGATTAACACGTCATTCTAAAAATTCCTTATAAAAATCAATCAATAAATACCAACCACAGCCCCACCCTAATCGTTCAGACCATTTTATAAACCTGATAATTTAACTGTTAGTTTGTTTTATTCTTTCTTCGTACTTTAACATACGTATGTGTTTATGCACAATCTGTCTGCCTATTTATATACTTTGTATTTGTGGCAGTCACACTAAAATAAACAATACACACTAGTTGTACATCCGCAGGGTCCCCAAAAGTGTTCTGTTTCAAGAGTAAAGCCAAAATTGAGAGTAACAAATATGGAGTTCATATGTCATGCTGTGTTGTAGCCTACAGAGTGCCTAATTCTTCTCGTGATTCATGGCATGCGCACGTTTGACTAACGTCACGACAATACAAATTGCAAAGTTAAGCCTCCCTTATGAAACGTCATTTTAGTGTATACTGACTGACTGACAGACAACGCACTACTATACAGTGGTGGGAATGGTTAAAACAGGTGACCCTTCAGGCGGCCTCAGGCCCTCTTTCGGGGTAAAAACATTAGGCGGCGTGTTACAGCTAAACGAACGGGCTTATCAGGAGTTTCTTGTTCTTACATTTAGTATTTCACCTGTCTGGAGAGTCAGTACCAAGACAGAGAATAAATAAGAGTTTACACGCTCAGTGGGTTTAAACATCTACGATTAACGTTACTGATCTATACAATAAAACGAAAAACACATTTATCACAATTAATATTCAACGCCTTAGTACACACAGTTTAACGTGGAGAATAAGTAACCAGGTCTTATTTGTCGTTAATGCTGCGTAGAATATTTTACAACACCTATCCTGCTGTGTGATCAAATTTTATCTAAAAAGGTTCAAACGGAAACCTTAAATTACAAATAATAAAAACAGAAAACAGGCGTAAATAGGCAATTTCATCGATCAAATTAATTTCAAAATACTGTATAAAACCCCGTAATTAGTGGGCAAAATACAAAGTTATTAAAATAGTGGTCAAACAGCAACTCACCCCTTCACTCATTATCATTAAATTAATTTCTGTTCTACGCTATACATAACAGTAACAAGAAACAGTTACTACAACCACTAATTAACATCTGTTTATGAAGTATACAGTATTACACATTAAGTGGATAGTATCTTAAATGCATAACCTTCACAAAAAGCGGAAATTAGTAAAATTTGGGTTGGAGTAAGAAATAATAGTTCTGTTTCGCGGACTTGAAAGTTGTACGTGTACCGAATAATCAAATGTACTAATACAGATGGAGACTTTAATGATATAAGTAATTTGAGGTTTCACTACATTCACGCATATAACGTTTGCTAGGAAAGAAAGATATTTTAGAACTGAAAACTGTATTTTACACAAGTCTAAATTATAAGTTAGAATAGCACAGGCTATCCGTGAAAATTACATTTTATGTAATGTTATAGAATTACAATAATATTTTCGGCTGAAAATACATTTCCCAAATGCATCATTAAAACAGTCATGTTAGATATGAAGTTTTAATAACAGACATTCAAGAAGATTAAACCTAAAACTCGTTAAACACACACATCCAGGAACACGTGATTCAGCTGACCTCTAACGTTGGTACACTTGAATACAGCTTACTGAATGCAGAAGTTAAGCCTAAATTTACTGAACTTATCTCTTATAATAGAATTTAGTTGAAATAAACTAAAATACAGAAGTCAGAAGCCCTTTTATTTAGAAAATCAGGAGTCCAAAAATATTTTTTATTAGAAAACAAAGTGTCCGGGTGTATTTTTGCTAGTGAACTTGGAGTTCAAGACTATTTTTATTAAAATCCAGGGGTCAAAGAGTGTCTTTATTAGAAAAACAGCAACTCAACAATATTTTTACTGAAAATCAAGAGTCACAGACTTTTTTGTTATAGAACAGGGATCCAAGAGACTCTTTATTAAAGAACCAGGAGCCCAAGAGTATTTTTTATATAAAAATCAGGAGCCCGGAAGACTTTTTTTTTTTATTAGAGAACCACAAGTCCAAGAGTCTCCCTATTAAAAAAATTAACGAGAACCTGAAATATAATTAAAGTCTAGGTTTTTTTTTAGTAGAAAGTTGGTAGGTAAAACGAGCAGGAAAATAAAACCCTTAGTCTCAGAACACTGGTAGTCCAAGAAAAAGAAAAGTTTAAATATCAGTAAGAAATACCTTAAGAAAATTTTAAGCTGACTTAAAAAACTTGCAATCAACATGCTTTAGACTTTTTAAAATTTGTAAGGTTTTAACAAAACTTTTTCGGAGCTTCATTTCAGCTGATTACTTATAGAAAATTCATACTGAAATTTAACCTTGAAGAAAGCTATGTTGTATGTATAAGAATATTTATCAATTCAGTAGGAAATTAGAATAAATTCTCTTTTAATATAAAAATCAAAATAATCTACATAAAAATACAGAATATTGATACAGGATTCCTACTAAGTACTTAAATACTATAAATGTAAGATAAAACAGTACTTGGATTGAGCTTACTACATATTAAAGTTTATTTTTAATTTTTAGATATGAATTTTATTTGTATTTAGTATATATTACTTACTATATAAGCCATTATTTATTTATTTGTATGAACAGAGATGAAACAAAACTGCTTAAAGTTCCGATGTAAATACTAAAAGAACGAGAGTATATTACTCTGAAAAAAAATAGAGATGTTGGTTCACAAAACATCCTGTTAAAGTCGCTTTACAAATCCCAAGCGAGATTGTTTATACGAAGGAGTCGTTTCGAAACGCACAAAAGCGGAAGGAAGTAATCTCCGATGATAATCACTTCCGAAAAGGAACCAGGGAGTCTTTAAACTCCTTTATCGTCCGTCCGTGTCTGTATGATGTCAGTCCTCCAGGTTCCTTACAGCAAAGAATAAGAAGAACGAGGATGATGATATTTTTTTCGTACGGGTAGTCTTATGGAAATTATTATGGATTTTTTCGTAAGAATATAAAACTTAAAATTGCTTCCTTTTCACGTACTGAAATATACGATCTCGTTTCTTGGGGTAGAATGAAATAATTAGATACACAGCTCGAGATTCGTTTCAGCATGCGTTTGTGGCATTATTGTGGGCAAAAAGTGTCTATATAAAATCCAAAATAACCAAAGGGTTTTGTGCTGAAACTGGTGTACTGTGCACTCATAATGTGAAACAAAGTAACTAATGTCGATTAAATAGACATAATGGACTAGCACTTCATTATCTATAGTCCTATGTATGTTTAACTGTTTACCTCTGTTGTATATGTTGCATTGATTTTACTCGTACATGGCAGAATAGCTTTAGCTTAAATCTATTGTATACATATTCTTTAACACTATTGTTCCACTGTTTGCACGTGTTGTGTCAGCGTGTGTTTCTTTCTTCTTTCCTTTTGTTTTTCTTCGTTAGCTCAACATAGAAACTTTTGTGTAGTATAACGACGAAGATGTCTCTCTGGCAGCCACTCTGATATCATTTGATGTTTCAAACATTGAAGATGTTTCTACTTACACACCAAAGCATTTCAGGAAGTTTAACGATCTCCAACTATTTATTGAGGTATAATATTTTACCATGTCTTTAACTCTTAAATTGCCGAGTTCTTTTTACGCCGTTCACTACTCGTGGTGTC